CTCTGGAGTGAAGGTGCTCACATGTCTAGCACTGGCTGTGTCCTTCCCCAAGTTAGAGTCCTACAGCCTGTGTGGACAGAGACCCACAACTGACATGGCCCAATTCCAGTGAGAGAAACTGGTGGCTAACAAACGATGCCAGGCACCCTGAGGGAGCCATGACTGGGCTGGCAGGGCCACAGCAGAGCAAAAAAAGGGCTGAGAGTGGACAACCCTGAGATAGGCACACACTGCCATGTTTGAGGAGCAGCATGGAGTCAAGGGAATAAGAAAGAAAAAAAGGCCACGTGGAAAACGGGAGTGAGTTCTAAGGTGGCTCCTGGGCCAGCAGCACAGTGATGTTGTGTTTTGAAAGGACCATCGAGTATAAACCCGCTGAAGTGGGAGGCCAGCCGGTTGACACTACTGTAACAGAGGATTCTAGCTGGGCTGGAGGATAGAACTGTTCAGGGATCCTGGCCTCCAGCTGAATGGACTCTGGGGGATGGGAGGAAAGTTCCATAGCAGAAGGCCAGCAAAGGGGAAGGAGGGAGGAGATGACCCTAGCAGCCAGCCCCACTACATACCCCTTCTTTTAGCATTCCCGTGGGGCATTTGAAATGAGCGATCATAATGCTGCCTGCTGAGATGCGCTAAACTGGTTTGTGTCTTGAAAGGACCATCATGTATAAACCCACTGGGGCCCCAGTACCCAGTAAGTGCTTAGTAAAGGCCCACCAATCATTGCTCCCTTGCTACCCCTCCAACTTCTGCCCTAGATCTTCCCTCTCCCATGGCATCCTAGGCAGACTTCCTTCCTTCTGTGCAAAGTAGGGCTACATTTAGCCTAGACAGCACTAAAGAGGTGTCTCTCTGATGGTGGTGTCAGGGTGCTGGGGAGAGGGGAGTGGAGGAGGATTGAGAGGCAGGCAGCCTAGGGTGGGGCCGAGGACCTTATTGCCTGATCCATAAGATGCAGAAGTGGAGGCCGGTAGGAGGCCAGGGAGCAGCTCAACTGGGTTCTAGGCTGCTATGTACTCTGTCTTCTCCCTGCCTCCCACTGGCCGACTCCCCACAAGGTCCTCTGTTGCCAGGTTGGCATCTGATAGCTCTTCACTGGGTATCAAACATGTTTAATGTGGCCTCCAAATGTGACCTATGGATGTCCCTCAAGGCACCGTGACTCTACAGAGGGCCCTGGGCTGACCAACAACGATTCCCAACCTGAATGCCCATCAGTACCTTACACCCTGAACCCAAGCGCAGGTGTCCCCATCCCAGGCTAAGCTGCCTGAAGCAATCCACAAGGCCAGGGTTTGGGGGATCCTGACCAAGGATCAAGGCTGGGCAGGTTCTGAAAAAAAAATTCTGAAAAGACTCTTCAAGATTTTCCTTTGAAAACAAATTCATAACCACATCAAACAGGAATCCCCGTCGCCTTGAGTCTGATCGCCAGCCGCCGCAGGCTCTCTAGCTAGCTGTTCTTCTAATTGCTTTTTTCTCTTCTGAGGCCCACAGAAGTCATCTATGGCTTTTACTTAGGTGAGCAGAGACAGGGTACAACAAGGCTTTTGTCTGCCTTGCCCTGTTAATCACTACTGAATTGCAAATAGTGATGAGATCTGAGATCCCCAAAACCGATCTGTCCCAATGGCTCCTGGAGGATACCATCCCAGAGCCCAGAGCAGGCACTCCCTTCCCTGAAGGTGGTGACACCACCCTGGGCACCTGCCTGTGGTGACATGGCACCCTGCCTCCACCTACTCAGCACTGGGCAGAATGCTCACCATCTTTCTGGTCATGTACTCAAAACCCCAAAGGGGAAAAGTAGAGCCAGGTGGCTTCAGGAACAATTGCTGAAGTGTTGTCTTTGGAGCTGAGTTCTGGGCTAAGGAGCCACTGTACACCAGGCCAGGACCCTCCCTGCAGTGGCCCAGCAGGACTGGACACGGGCTTGGGCATGAAGGGCATAGAGGTTCTCTATGGACTACTCTGGGAGCCTGAGTGGCCAGGAAGGAGGCAGAGGCCAGAAGAGCAAGCTACTAAGACCACCTGCCTTCAAGACAGAAGCATGACCTTGGCAGGCAAGCTCCTCAGACTCCTGTATAATACACCCAGTGAGCAGCGTCTTGGTTCACTTCCCAGCTAGGGAAACAGAGGCAACAAGGAGCTTGCATGGCCAGGTCTCTGCACCAAACAGTCCTATTGCACAGGGCAACCCCAATCCCCAAGCTGTGCTGGACAGACTAGCTGGCAAGCATCACAACCAGCCACCATGATCCAGGCAAGAGCATAAAATAAGCATATGACGTCCACACTGGCCAATACCCCACAGGCTCCTCTAGTGCCAGATGGCATCTGATGACTCTTCATTGGGTGGCAAATACTTTTACTATAGCCTATGAATGTCCCCCAAGGCACCAAAGACCACTCTCCCATGACCCTACAGGTCACGGGAGACCCTGGGCTGACCAACAAGGATCCTCAACATGAATGTATCCTAGGGCCCTGTACCCTGAACCCAAGCCCTGGTATCCCTACCCCAGGCCAAGCTGGCTGAGGCAATCTGGTCTGATCAAGGCCAGGAAAGTTACAGAACTCAGCTACAAGTTACTGCTCATCACCATAATGGCCAGGGCAAGCAAGGGGGCCCTATTTGTGAGCAGCTGGACAGTCTAGGAGGTTCTTGTGGCTGGCCAAGAGAACCCATGTGAATCCCACACATGGTCATGGAATCCAGGCAAACTCTCCAGCAACCAGAGAGTTGGAGGAGTCCATACATTTAAATGACGCCTTGCACTATTTCCTGTCTCCACAGTCCTACCCCTCCCCCATCAACAAAGTGACAGCAGCACACTGAGGCCCCAGACTCTGGACCCTCTTAGGACTCCAGTCCACATCCTGCCTCTAACAGCTTGGCCAATAGGACACCTTTGGACTCAAACAGGCTTCTCAAAACCCCAGTTGACATAAGCAGCAGCCATAGGGTCACTGTAAGCTTGAGAACAGTCCAGGGAAGCTTCAGGGATACCCTGGCATGGCACACACAGGTTTGGTGGGCCCTATGGCAGCTGCCCTGCAGGAGATTTCAAATAGCCTTCCCCCAACCCGAGAACTCTCTTTAAGGACTCTGCCCATTAGCAAAGGTGAGGTGTCCACAGGTGTTCAGTTGTGGGATAGTAAACATTCATGAAACGTCCATTTCCCATGAGCCAACCGGTGCTTCTCCCCCTGCCTACTCATACTGGCTCTGTGTGTTTAAAGCTGCATAAAGCCAGACCAAGACTAGCCTCAGACAGCCCTCCTTTGGTGCAGAGTTCAGGGGGGGGCTCGGACAGGGTGTGAACTCTGGCTTCACCTGCCAGAGACAGCCTAGCTTTGGCTTCTACCCATGGCACTCTTAAGCCCTGATTTCAGTTTCCCCCTGTGAGCCCTCAAGCCTGGATGCTTCCACCCAGCCTGATGCTTCCATCCAGCCCTTTCAGAATACACACACATAGTGGGTGGGCAGAGGAGACAGTTCTGAAAGCATCAGGAGCTTGCCTAGGACACAGACTTCACCCATGGTACACACTTGTCCAGGAAGATGGGAGCCAGCCCCTGACTGCCCCTTGTCCTCAGGGCCCAAGTCAACCAGGTTTTGAGGCCAGCAGTCAGCAGCTGGCTGAGTCATCTCATGGTTTACCCTAAGGCAGCTTTGCAGGTCTGACCATATGAGGCCATCTGTCAAGACCTGTGACTCCATCCCTACATCACCGGTGTTCCCTTTACTCCAGGTCCCCATGTGGAGGTGAGGGAGGCCCCTGCTTTACTAACAGAACACACTGAAGGAACCACCCCATGTGCTCGCATCTGAGGTCACTCACAACCCCTCACTCACTCGCAACCCCTGCTCCATTACTTATGCTAGGTAGGTTCATATATCCCCCAAGCCAGTCCTCCAACTGGCCCTGGAGCGGTCCCTGCTTCCTAGGCACCTGGATGGGTCTTCTCTTCTTCTAGAGGAGAAAAGGAAGTAGCTGACCGTTTCAGGCCCCAGGGCTGGGCTTAGCCCTTTGCATAATGGCTCCTTCTTTCTTTTTTTTTTTTTTTCCCCAGAGCTGAGGACCGAACCCAGGGCCTTGTGCTTGCTAGGCAAGCGCTCTACCACTGAGCTAAATCCCCAACCCCGGCTCCTTCTTCCTAAGGGGTTCTCCAATGGCTCTCCATTGTCCCCTACAAACAGAGCAAGTGTGGCCTTTGTCAAGTGCCTTCTCTGCACCCATTTGTCCCAGGTTCTGCCCTGTCTCTACTTCTCCTCCAGTTTCTTAGCTACCCGCCTAGTACTTAGAGCAAAACAAGCCCTTTACAGGCATGGAGTAGGAACCACATGGTCCAGAACTCCATTCAGTCACTGCCCTGATCAATGAGGGACCTAGAAAGGTGGTGGTGTCCTAAGTTAGTACCTGGTGAGATACCTTTGGGGATTGGCACTATCCAGGGCCCACTCAGCCTCTGCCTGCTCAGCCTTCAGCTGTCCAATCCTTCTCTCCAGCTGCCAGCCCCTTCCCAGCTAGGCCCCTCTGTGTTCTAATCCCCTCCAAGCTGAGCCAGACATAGCCCTTGGCCTCTGAAGGTCCACCCATTATGCTCATTCCTCCCTCTCTCCACTTGGCCACAAAAAGCCAGAGGCTGTACTAGAGACTCCAGAAGGCTTGTCCAGAGTCTCAAAGACCAAAAAGCCTGGGAAGGAGCTAAGAGGTGACTCCCAACCACTAGGTCTATGTAGAAAGAGGAAAGGAATAATACACATGTATGGACACACACAGGAACTCAGTACTGTACTGTACCTCAGTAAACACATATAGACATGCACATGAGGGTGACCAAGGGCCTCTCAGGCATGGTACATGTATAAATTCAACACACATGTATAAAGACATGTCATGCTCTGTCTTCCAGGCCTTGCATGCCCAGGCCCTAAGGTGGCCTGCACTAGCCTGTCCCTAGCACCATGTTCATCTCTGTTTCTGTCCTCACAGGTGACACAACTGGACCAGAGGCTGATGATCATCACAGACATGCTCCACCAGCTGCTCTCCCTGCACCAAAGCGGTCCAGGTTGCAATGGCAGGCCACAGGTGGTGGCTAGTGATGAAGGTGGCTCCATCAACCCTGAGCTTTTCCTACCCAGCAACAGCCTGCCCACCTACGAACAGCTGACCGTGCCCCGGATAGGCCCTGATGAGGGCTCGTGAGGGGTAACCCGACAGGTCTGCCCCACCTCCCTCTCAACAAGGGCACTCACGCTGGTCCTCACCCCCTTGAAGGCTTGATATGACAGTCTAGCTCCCCATGGCCCCAAAACCCATGGACCAAGCCACCAGCTTGAACCTGGAGCTCACCAAGGCCCAGCCAGTGGGTACTAGAACTTGGCTTGGCATGGGGTTCCTCTCAGGCCAGAACTGTCAGTCCTATCAAGATGGTGATATTATTCGCCTGATGGCTGGGACACAGTGATGGGGAGCATCTGTGTAGGGCTAGGATGCAACTCAGGCAGAGGGAGGCTTGTCCAGGTGATGTCAAGTAGCTTCCTAAAGGGAGACAAGAAGAATCTGGCAGAGTCTGGGGTCCTCACCCTCAGCCTTAAATCCAGGGCTCAGCTGGGAGCAGGCAGGGCAAGCCACACCCAGCCCACTTTATAGGCTAGAGGCCAATGGGGGTTCAGCAGGTCAGCCTGATTCCTTCACTCTCTAGTGATGCTGATCACATGAGCAGGATACCATAGGGTTTCCCAGCTTCCCTCAAAGGATATCCCAAGCAGGGGAATGTCCACTGACCACCACCCTAGCCAGCTGTGGACTGACAGCTCCTCCCCCAAAGTGACCAGCAGGGCCCTCAAGCCCTACAAGTCCTATATGTGCAGTCAGCCCCCTACTCCTTGGTGACCAGAGGTACCAGACAGATGCTCTGACTCCAGCCTCATCACACCACATCCCTCAGCCAGCAGCTGAGCCATGGTGCCATTAGTGGTATCAGCATTTCTCCCAGGATTGGTTCCTTGGGCATCGCACCTCACGGAAATCAGAATAATTTCTGGTGATTCAGAATCTCTGTTTTAATGAATTTTATAGTGTGATCTTGATTGAAAGTCTTTTCCAAATAAACGTGGGACATCTCAGGTTGATCTTGGCATATGCTTGCTTCTGAGAGTGTCTTGTGGGGGGAGGGTCTTTACAATAACATAGAGCTCAACCTCCATTCTCTGCCCTACCCCACCCTCCTGTCTCCTGCTGTTCCCCACAGACAGCCTCACACTCCTTGTGGACAGGACCCTACAGTTCCCTGGGACCCAGGTGCCCAGGTGGCCATGGAATGAGCATGATTCAGAGAAAGCCCAGGCTCCAAGGGCTCAAAGGGACAAGGAGAAATGTCAAAGTCGTTGAGCTGGGTTGGGTTGAGGGCAGCCCTGGGCCTCCACTCCAGGTATCCCTGTCTACTCAATATGATCAAGATGTAGTTACCACCTGATTCCCAGAAGACCCTGAGCCCTAGGAGTAGCCGAGCCTGGGTTAGGGTCTGGCTTAGCTGGACAACACTGACATATGCCCAGGAAGTCACCCTCAGACATGTGCCGGGCCTCTCATCTGTCCTTGCCCACCAGGATGGCTCTTACTAGTTACCCAAGAGGCCATTCAAGAGTGAGTCCTTCCCAGGACCGGCCCCCAAGACTGTAAGAATTTGATTCCTGAAATAGAAGTGTACAAATAAGTACTGGAGTTCCTAGGCTCCCCTTAAAGCCTCAGTTCCCCTGTTGGGATACAGTGATGTTCCTCTGGCTGTCCAGTCAGTCTATTAGGCTGGAGGCCTATTCCAAGTGAGTACCACCTTGCCTGCCTGGCCCTGTGTCTGTCACTCTTTGTGATCCAGTCACTGTAAATGGAAACAGTGCACTGGGAACAGAACTTGTCCAACCAGTGTCCACTGTCTCTAGTGAACCTACTCTGTCCCTGTTCTGTCCTTCCGGAACCTACCCCATATGTCAGGCCATCAGGACTGAAGGCATCTGAGAATTGAAGGATGGAGACACCCTGGGTCTTTGGAGGCAGCAGGTAACCAACGGTGGGATCGAAGATCCAAGTGTGGGGATGCAACTAGAGGCCCCTGAGGAGGCCCTCGGGTCCCTCTTACACTGAACCTCTTGGGGGTCTGAATGTCCTAGAAGCTCCCACCACAAGATCTTGGTTTCTGGTCTGACAAGCACTGGCCATCCCTGGCAGAGAAAGGTAGAAGGACGGCTTAGACCTCAGGCTTCCCAGCCTCAGCCCCCACTCAAGGGGGGTTTTGCAGCAACAATTGCTGAAAGGCAGAAGCTGTTGTTTCCTTGTTGAGTAAATATTTGTGGAAGCCCCAGGCTATGGCTGACTGTAGCCAGGGCCCTCAGCTTTGCCCAGGCAGGCTACAACCCATGAGGAGCTCAGGGCCGCCCATCTGGGCAGGACCCAGTCCCTGCACCCTGCTGGCCTCAGTGCTGTCCTATGGACTGTGTAGAGTGGCCAAGTGCTGTTCTCCCACAAGGACCATTGCAGCCCTCTCGGGTGTGAAATGCAATTTACCTGAAATAAAGGCCAATTATGGAATTACCTAATTAAAGCCGGGAAGAAGGCTGGGCCTGGCAGGATGGACGCTCAATGCCCGCCCGATGCCCACGGTCTGAGGGAACAGATGGTGCCCCGGCCTGCCGGGCTGGCCACATTCCTTCACTCTGTCCCCCTATAAGTGACCTAGACAGCACACGACCATCTGGTGTGTGACACGTCCTGCGGGCCCCGGACAATGGCCCAGCAGACCTCTCCATGAGAGGGCCGTCGCCCGGGCAACGGTGGCATGTGCGGGAAGGCCCATTCGCAGCCCCTCCCGCGGCCCTTTCTTCGGGGCCCTTTGTGGGCCTCGCCTCAGCTCTCTAGTGGCTGGGCTGACAATACCCATGAGTATTTGTCCCCAGAGCTGTGCCTTTGTCCCCTTATCGAGGCCCTGGTGTCCAGTGGGTGCTAGGAGCATTTGCTAGAGGACCAGCAAGGCTCCTGTTTCATGGGATTGCCTCTCCTGCTGCCCTTGCTCTTTCCGGCCCAGCTGTGGTTCTTGAGCACTGGGCTTGGCCCTGCCCAAACCTGAGCGTCTCCCATCTTTGAGCCAGCATACAGAGAGAAGAGACCCCTGCTACCCAGGCTGTTGTGGCCTTTCACCAGTTACCTGCCTCTGCCTGTGACATAGGACAGTAAAAGTGTCCTTTAACAAAAGGCTGATGGAGATGAGACACCTAAGCCAGACAGAGGCACAGGCACAACCATATGCTTAAGGCAGCCAGAGAAATCCCCTAGGTGGGTGAGGCTGGCTCTTCCTCCCTTCGGCACTCCTGCCTGGCCTTCTAGCTAGACTCCTTCCCTGATCTTCCAGGATCAAGCCACACCCCCTTCCTAGCCACACCCCCCAGCATCAAGCCCCGCCTCTTCCTAGTCCTGCCTTCTCAGAGCAGAGAAAGCCTCCCAAAGGCCGGAAGGCTGCTGGCTGATCACTCCCAAAACCACCCTGGCTAAACACATAGTAAATCCACTGACCCTGGAATCTCAGCAGCCATGTTTATCTGAATCTCCCTCCCCCCGCACCCAGCGCCCCTCCCCATACATATACACACATACACACACGTACTCAGGACTTCCATCATGATGGGTAGGTGCCAGAAAGACAGTAAAACAGAGGGAGCAGCTGGCCCAGGAATGTCCCAACTTCAACTGGGCTCAAGCAAAACCAGTTAAATCACTGGATAAAATAAAGGCCACAGAGGTGTCTGGACCCAATGGAGGAGCCACACCTGTGCCCTGAAGATCACTGGCCCCTGCCTTTGGACCTGCAGCAGCCTCCCAGCCCATTAGAAAGAAGATGAAGGGCCAGGGACAATGCTCCTGGGACCCTCCCCACTCCTCCATCAGCCCCCAGCAGGCATCCCCAGTATAATATGGCCTCCAACAGAGGTGGGACAACCCTCCATTGAAGTTCTGGGCCCTCAATTCTGAGAGTCTTCTTGGTTTAGCAAAAGCCACTTTCCCAGCACTGTGGGTGCCCTTCTAAGGTCTCCCTCTGGGTGATCAAGGGTATATCCCTCATCATACTCAGCCCCAGGCATCCTTCTCCTCTTCTTGTGTCTGTATACTTGAGATCTGGAAGGAGCCAGGCCTATGCCCCGAGCTTTGGAGGCCACATCTTGTCCCTCAGGTCCTCCCACCTGGGACAACAGGTGTCCAGGACCTAGGCTACTACAGGACCTAGGCTATGCTTAGGGCAGCCAGATCTGAGCGGACAACCTCCATTCTCATTGACCTCAGCATGCTGGACTATTTCTTCCCAGCACAAGGCTGGTAGGCAAGCAGAGCAGGACTGTTTGGGCAGCATAGGAGCTCACCAGCCAACCACCTCTCACTCCCTGGTCAGTGGCTACCTTCTCTCCCGCTCTAGGACAATGCTGCCCCTGCTTTGCTCACTGGACCTCCTGAGCTCAGGTTGAGTAAGAGTTCTTGGTGTTGACCAGAGATGCTTCCCTAAGAATGGAAGCATCTTGTCTTCTCTAATGGAGGGTCTAGGAAAGTTGAGGGATGGATCTTACGACCCCATCCCTAAGCTCTGGGACCAGGTCCCCTCCCACCAAGGCTCAGATACTGGTTGAGTGTAGGAGATGGAATCCACTAGAACACAAGATCCTTTTCTCTCCTGGCCAGTCCCTATATGGCCTGAGCTTGGTTCTGTTATCTGGTCTTCCTCTCAGTGTCCTTGTCAGGCACTCCAGGGTGCCAGGGAACAGCAAGGGTTCTCCTTGCATCCCCAACCCCCTCTGCAGTTCTCATGACACATAAGGGAGCCATCTCCATCCCTTTTCAGACTCTCTCCAATCCCCTAGGGCCCACTCCTGAGGTCCCAAAGAAAACAAGTCTTCCTTAGCTCCTAGAGCCCAGCACAGCCCCCAGTCACCTGCTTCCAGGCCTGCCTTCACACAGGCCCAGGCAGCAGCTTATCAACCCAAGAGAACCCAGGCCACCAGGCTGATGCTCTCACTGCTTCTCAGATATGGGCCGAAGTATAGGGAGGGGGACATCAAGACATACTGAGGACCATAGTGACCCTCGAACCTTCTCACCCTCCTAGCCCCTCCACCCTACTCCAGTCAAACACACAGCCTCATCTTCCTGCCAAGCCATAACAGTGAGTAGATCCAAAGGGGCTTCAGGGGCAAGAAGGGAGCATCAAAGAGGACAGAGACCTAAAACAGAAGGGCCTTCAAGCAGTGAAACCTCCCCACCTGGGGAATGAGGAAACCAAGCAAGGCCTAGGGTGAGGCCAAACAACTCAGTATCTGTATGTGTAAAGAGCCGTGGCATTCACCAGAAACCGTGTGGATGTCCATGATCCGTGCTGCCCCCAGCTGCTATGGGCAGAGAGGCATCTTGTGCAGTGATCTCGATGACTGCAGACTCATAACTGAGAATGAGAGACATTTAAGGCTTCTGTGACAACCCCTCCCCTTTGCTCCCCCCCCCAAAAAAAAACAATCCAGATATGAAGTTATTGAAGAGAGTCCTTAAAAATCATGATAAAGATGCTGAAATATGGCTCTTCGCAGTTGATGGCTCCTGGTGAGGGTGGGGTGGGGAAGGACTCAGTTTTCTTTAAGGGGCTGCCCACTGGGAGTTTGATCAGGCTCCAGTGAGTATATGGGCAACCCAAATTGGACTTGGTGGGTTTTTTGTATTTTTGTTTGTTTATTTTCTTATTTGGGGGGGGCAGGCTCAAGGGTGGGAGAGTGGACCTGGGGCGAATAGGAAGCAAGTGTCATCAGGTGCATTGTATGAAATTCCCAAATAATTAATAAAAACATTATGTTGAAGGAGAAAAAGAGTCATAACAGAGAAGTTAGATGCTTTGCCTGGGAGCCTCAGGACTTGGATATTTAACTGGCTGAGACAGAGCTGCCTTCCAGAGCCTTGGGATGTCAGGGGCCAGGCCAA